AAAAAAAAAAAAAAAAAAACACGGTTAAAAACGAATTTATTATCAAAATAGATAATTATCAACGGTTAGGCCGCAAGAGTTATAGCCACAGGCAAAATATCTATAGCCGATTAAACCGCAGCTGCATAATGTTGTTGTGTGTGACGCCGGGGTCTTTTTTTCTACCGTAATGTAATGGTTACCAGGCCATGACCAGCTGTATTATAACAACAATCTCTTTGCTGATCTTTCCCAACATTATAAGAACCTCCTCCTCCTCCACAAGCATCATCTACAAATTTCCCATCGCTCCCCCGGAATACCCCCCACCACGCCACCACCACCACCACCAAAACCACCAGGACCAACGTGATTAAGAAAGCCCACGAAAAAAAACTTTGGTGAGAATATGTTCGGTGTTCGTCATTTTCGGAAAGAATTTAATTTAATTCAAATACATCTGAATCAACTATGGCATAACATAGGAAACAATCTGCTCGAGTCACATTTGGTAATCGGGTACCATTGTGTGAAGGAGGAGAGACAGTCAGAAACTCTCTATGATAATTTCGTAGAGATTGGTTAGACGTGTTTACGACGCACAGCTCCGATAGACCCAGCTGTCGGCATGGGCTACCGACAGGATCCTCTAGGAACAATGACAAGGTTTCAAATTATATTACAGTTAGACTTACCAGTCGGAAATAATTAAAGTGAATTAGAATTGATAAGCTTTGGAGGATAAAAGAACCGCTATATCCTTCCACTAATGTGAGGTAAAATCTTTGAAACTTTTTTGTCGGCTAAAGCATTTTCCTGGAAGCCTGCCATGTCCGTTTTCTCCAGAAGTCTTGTTAATTTTCGCTCTTCTGCAACTACTTTGGGATTGCGTTACATCAACTTCTGAGCACCCTATGGTTAGTTAATGTATTTTATTGGACAGTGGTCAGTATCATGTTCAAAAAAAGACTTAAATTAGGCTTGCATCTCAAGAGTATCTCACAAAGGTGTCCTAAAACGCACCAGATGGCGTTAGACCGTGTCTAGAATTTCAATCCTTTCCGGAGGGAAGATGCCCCAGACCTCACCCCCACCCCCTACAAGGATTGATCTCAGACCCATCAGTACATGTTACCAGCCCTTGAACCCATTCACCGGCTGGTACATTTGTTCCTACGGGACTTGTGTTAAAGGATATGCGGAACAATCGGCTGATAGAAAAGAATAGCTGAGCAAAAGCCACTTGCAGGGTTTTTTCTGCTGTCGCAGTGACCAGGGAAATACAAGACTCTACAGAAACCGAGGTTAAACCCTAGAGACTTGTTGCTGGAGGAAGAAGAAGTTGAGACAGCACTTTATAGGAGACTGAGATCACAACAGATATTTCATCGAAGTGGAATGAATTCTAGTCAGTCAGTATAAGCAGTTCGAT